AAATGAATTTTAGAATTATTTCCCACACAGCCTTTATCTAGACTCATCTATGTTAACACAGAACCCCCTTTTGCTTCATCGCTTCCCTTATCTCTCTCCACCTTATAAGTAGAGCACATCATGACCACTTCCTCTAAATATCCACTATGTGTTTCCTAATAATATGAAACTGAAAGTCATTGTCCACTTAGAAATATAACATGGATCCAGGGGAGCTGCATAAGGACTTTGAATGCACAAGGAGTGGACAGAGGAAGTTGATCCCTGAAAGGATGCTTATGAATGAGACACCATGACGTAGGAGTCCAGAGAGTGTCGAGATGAGGAAATCTTGATCATCTGATGTGGAGAGAAGGAGAAGAAACCATGGTACCAAAATTCCCTATTTTACTGTTTCCCGAAAAAAAGGTTCCACACTCAACATTTTTCTCAGAGCCCCAGTAACATCTTTGTTCCTAAAACTGTAGATTAAGGGGTTCAGCACAGGTGTGAGTATGGTGTAAAAGACGGACACCACCATGTCCTTCTGCGGGGTGTGGTAGGAGCTGGGAAGCATATAGTTGTAGACAGCAGCACCATAGAAGAGCATAACCACCATCATGTGTGAGGAGCAGGTGGCCAGGGCCTTTCTCCTGCCCTCTGCAGAGTTCATCCTGTGGATGGTGAGGAGGATGCAGGAATAAGATACTGAAATGACTGTCACAGGGATGAGGAGCATAAGAACACAGCACAGGTACATGAGTGTCTCATAGAGCGAGGTGTCTGAGCAGGAGAGCTTCATCACGGCAGGGACTTCACAGAAGAAGTGATGGATCTTCTGGGATTTGCAGAATGGGAAGGTCATGGTGATAGAAGTCAGCATGAAGCCATCCACTGATCCTAGGAACCAGCAGCCAGATACCAGGAGAAGACACACCCTGTGGTTCATGAGCATAGGGTAATGAAGCGGATGGCAGATGGCCATGTAGCGGTCATAGGCCATAGCTGCCAGAAGGAAATGTCCTGAGCCTCCTAGTGTCACATAGAGGAACATCTGTATCCCACATTCAGGGACTGAGATGGTACTCACATCCAGCATCTGGTCCAGGAGCACCTTGGGCACAGTGATGGAGATGTACATCATGTCCACGAGGGACAGCTGGATGATGAAGTAGTACATGGGAGTGTGGAGCTGGACATTGGAGTGTATCAGGAGGATTAGGAGAGCATTTCCGGACAAGGCCATCAAGAAAACCACAAAGATGGCCACACAAAGCAGAGATGGATGTTGGGATTGACTGAAGAGTCCCACCAGAATGAAATCTGTCCACCCTGTGTGATTGTTCATCCAGGTGGTGATGTCCATGAGGTTCCACCTGGACCACCAAAAAAGCTTGGGTAATGTCGTGGAGAAGGCTGAAATGAATGCCTAGTGAGCAGGCACACGTGTGTGCACCAGCCTGATTGTGCCAACCAGAGGATGTTCCAGGGGCTGCAGATCCCAGGAGGTGAAATGACCTATGATTCAACAAATTGTAAAACAACAAGTATTAAAGGGATTGGTAAATCATGAGATTGCCACAGTTCAGGGTCAATGACTTCTTAATGGTAGTGATCGTTATCAACAAGTATTAGAAATTTGTGCCCCATATGACACAAATAGTGAGGTCATTATTCCAAGGGTTCTTGTTATTGAAGGGCAAAGTATGTCCAAACCACCCAGTTTAAGGATCCAACTACTACATTAAAAACTGTTAGAGGCATATTTCATATAAGAAATATTTAGAAAGTAGTGTAAACATGATTTGGGGGAAATCTATTTCAAACATTTGAGGCTCCTCTTCTCACAGGATTGGGCCACACTTCAGAGTCCCATGGCTGTATGCAGTAAGCCTTACTTCCCTTGGGCAGGACCCTGAGGTTCTTAGACCTCCAAAGGGCGTGTGGCGAGGGGCCCAGACTCTAGCTGGATCCAACATGGGTCCAGCTTCCCTGGACCCTCTGATCCTCTGTCCACTCTGCCTAAAAGGAGCACAAGAATAATATTTGGCTTTGCGTTTGGTGAAGATTAAAGCAGTGAAAATTCTTAGAATACTACCACTTGAAAAAGAACAAAGGCACAATCCTGTTAAAATATTAATGTGTATACTAATCGTTCTGGCAAAGCTATCCTGAAGATGGCTGTTAACATTATGCTATTGTGAGATACACTAATTCAGTTTCCCAATTTTAGTACCTACTTGTACCTTTAAGAATTTAGTATTTAAAGTAGGAAAGGAAACGATCCACAAATAAATGAAGCATACAGCTTATTAAAAATGGATTTGGAAATTTCTGTATGTCATATGAAAACTTATATTGTATAACCTTATATAAACTTTATACATTTTTATGAACATACTCACATGAACATATAAACAACTGTCTGAGATATTTATTGTGAGACCCTGGCTAAGCACAGGTTCCTGGAAAAACTCATCTCTTTTCAGCATAGCCTAGACTCCTCCAAGTTAATCTTAAAGCTCTGCCACTTGCACTTAATATCAGGTGGACAAGGATAGAATTTAGAGGTTATTCATCAGAAAAGCTTTGACTGTTTTCCAACATCATGTGTTTTATCAAGTGCCACAATCAATTATCATGGAAACTGAGAAATAGAGAGTTAGCAGAACAATGGGGAAGCCTCAGGGACAGCTCACTGTTGTCCACTCTGTCTTGATGCTCAGCTGCCTCCGTGTAGATGCTGGATGGAGACCAAGGGCTTGTAAACCTGGCCTGCACTTCAGGAGGTCACTATCAGTCCAAAAAGGGAAAACACCAAAATGAGATTTGAGGTGGGATTTTTAAATAGTGACAAATAAAGTTAGGAACAGCAGTGGACATAAAATATACCTGGCCTTTCTTGAGGAAATCAATAATGGCTTCTTCCATATTTTTTTATTAAAGAGATTAAACCTTCCCAAATTTTCAATTTCTACATGGTGTGTATTATATTTTGATGCCCTTACCAACATGGAGAAACTAACGTCTCCTCATTCTGGGGAGACTTTAGCATGGGGGCATTTCAGGAAAATAATGACAAGTTTCAAGAACATTTCATTATCTTGTAATAATTCCCAAACTAACTGTTACATTCAGCTCACCCATAGTCCAAAGTTCTGAAATGCTCATGGAATAAGCAATACAGCAAATGAACTTATTGCATAATATAAATATCCAACAAACCTGAAGTATACTGCAGAAGACAGAGGACAGACGTATATAGATTTCCTCTCTGTCAAATCCCACCCTGCTGGCAGATGAAGTCTGAGCGCGGTGGAGGAAACAGAGTTGCTGCCCCATTTACCTCTGTGGACAAGGTGAATCAAGGACTGGAGTCCATCAGTCGGTGTAAAGACCTGGACAGCATTTGCTGACAAGATGGAGGGAGAGAGGAGGCAGTGAGGGGAGGGAGGCACACTGGGACAATCTCTGCCACTGTCTTGGAGCCTCATGTAACAACCCCCAAGGACACCAGGGGGACCAGGGATTGTAGTGTGCAGCACACAGGGGGCCTGTCTTGCCTGCTCACTTTTACTCTTCTCTAGGCAATTGCTTAAGTTTCATGGGAACAGCCTGGTGCCTGCTCAACTTGGGGGACTGTTAACAGTACTGGTAGAAAAACACCCAGCCATCATTACAAGCCAGCAGCATCCAGGGATTGCTGACTGTGCTTCACCTTCTCCAGAGCCTCTGAGGTCCTGCTCATCTTATTGCAGACTGACAATCCAGCATCTCAGGGCATCTGCCTAACATCACACAAGTGACCTGAGAGAGGGCCACGCCCCACCCTAGGGTGCAGCAGAACACATCACTGCCTCAGCACCCTAGGAAAGCACCATGTTCCCTCTGCCATCCACATCCCAGGTCTGGTCCACCCCACCATCCTTGTGCTTGGAGAAACACGAACATGCTCAGGAGAATTGCTTCCAGCATTACTGTGACACCCCCTCCCCCCGGAGTCACCCCCACTTGAAGTAAAGATAGTCCTTCTCCCTCTGCAAAATTTCAGTCTTGGAACAATTAATTCAGCATCCTACTGCCATCCAAAACATTAAAAAGAAATACATACTCCTATGTCCTTAAATAATTGGAAATAAAAATACATTTCTTAAGATGTTACAATAAAAAAATACAACATGAAAGTTTTAAGATGCAAACACATTTCTTTTCTTCAGAAAAACAGATGATAGAGAAAAAATGAGGAAATGCTGTCAGGACCTAATAGCATACTTCAACAGCAGGTGAGCAAGACCCTCACAGCAATGGCCCTGAGCTCCCAGGGCCACCTGCTTATCTGAACTCACCTTAGAGAATGATGTACCTCACCCAGATGGCCAGGGAGTGTGGCCTGGCTAAGTCACCAGGAAGAGGAGAGTGACATTACCCCTGGTATAGGTAGTCACAAGAGATTGGATGGGAGTTGCCTGTTCACAAATCCCTCTGGGATGTGGAGGACATTGCAGTTAGAGCTAAGGAAGCAACAGAGCTCTCTGGCACAGTTCTGGATCATTCTCTATCTATATTCTATATCTGTATTTGTTAAACTCAAAACCTTTACCAATATTAAATCATCTCAAATCCCACATTGTCTATAAGGCCTGATTGATGAAATGTATTAAGTCAGTTAAGACACAGCCTTAGTCCTTGTTCAGTGTATAAAAAACTGTCCTAAGTGTGTGTATCTTCATTTAATTTCCCAGAAAATTGTGTGATATATTGTTATCTCCCCATATATGGAAACTAATACTCAGAGTTCAATGGATGTGTCAAAAGCATCACCCCTGTTAGTGCTGTGGGGACCCGGAGGGGGTTCCTTCTAGCAGCTCCACTGACTCTCTTAATCCCTGTTTGTGCTCCTTGTTTCTGACATTCAGTGATCATCTTGTTTGCTTTAGTGTTGCATTGAATTTTATGTGTTTGCTTTTATTTTCAATACCAGCCTGCAGATTGTAGAATACTGAAAATACGACCGATCTAGTGAAAAATTTTTAATCAATTACCCAACCTCTGCCCTACCCCCCCACACTCACATTATACTTTGCCTTCAAACTACAAACTGTTGAGTGTACACTACATCATAGCAGCTGGGATGAAGCAGGCAGAAAGAAGCAAGCCCACTCTCTTGCATTTTGCAGCCAAATCCTTCTTAACGTTTTTCCTGTATATGTTCTGGAACAATGCTGAGCATTTCCCCTGACATGGAGGTCTTGTGACAGCCTTGGTCCACAATGTCTGTTGGTCAGGCTGCCTCCTGAGCTGCAGTCACCTGACCTGCAGGGCTTCAGCCTGCAGATGGCTTATCCTGTCTCCTTAGCCACCTGGTTTCCTATAAGACTGTGAGATGCAGCCCGGGAGTATTCTCTAGGGTGGGAGGAAGAAAGAAACTGCATGTTTTCTTCCTTTCTGAAGATAGTCTTTGTCAACTGGAGGCAACAGGGATTTCCCTGGGTTCCCAAACCCAGAAAACAGTTTTTGCAGTTCTGGCAGCACTGCAGGACAAGAGCTCCCAGGGTTGCTATGGTGACCTCCCTGGGGCCTGGAAGTGCAGAGTCTCCTCCCCAGCTCAGCAGGGAGCACACAGCAGATAGCAGATGCAGAGGGAACATTCTGGGTTCCTGGCTGACACACTCCCTTCTACTCTACCATCCTCACTCTAGGTTTTGGTTACTTTGTAGCCTAGCCTCTGCAGCAAATATCTTCAGCATGAAATAGATGGTGTTTGTTACTGTACTAACCCAATCTAACCCAATGTGGTCACTATGTATCGAATGATTTAGACTCCAATGCATTCCTTGCCTAAAGAGAAAGAGTTAGTCTGTGCTCAAATCCCTCATTTATAAAAAATAAAAATGCTTCTATAGAAATCACTCCTAATATATTTTTCTTCAGGTAATTTACAACAGGGGAGTGATTCACAGCCTTGCCAGGGCTTGTTACTTCTATTTTTTTTTTTTTTTTAAGATAGCCATTCTCACTGGATGAGGATTCACTTATTGATCTTGGGATATACAACAAATCAATATTGAAACCCACATTGTACTTCAAGTTATAGAATTATAATTAGTTAATTAAAAATAAAATAAATAGGCCCGGTGTGGTGGCACAGGCCTGTAATCTCAGGGGCTTGGGAGGCTGAGGCAGGAGTACTGTGAGTTCAAAGCCAGCCTCAACTTAGTAAGACCCTAAACAACTCAGTGAGATCCTATCTCTAAATAAAATATATAGAGTTCTGGATATGTGGCTCCATGGTTAAGTGTCCTTAGGTTCAACCTCCAGTACCAAATAAATTTTTAAAAAATAGTAAAACATCATAAACTATAGTGT